CGATGGTGTCCTTGGCAGCCTGGGCAGCGCCTGCAGCGGTGTCCATGGCAGCATGTCCAACGTTGGTGGCAACGTTGGTAGCGGTGTCGACGGCGTGCTTGGCGCCCACAGCGATGGTGTCCTTGGCAGTCTGCGCAGCACCTGCAGCGGTGTCCATAGCAGCATGTCCAACGTGGGTGGCAGTGTCCACAGCGTGCTTGGCGCCGACTGCGATGGTGTCCTTGGCCGCGAGTGCGGCGTAGTGGGCCTGGGCTGTGAGGAGGTCCTTGGCTTGGATGGCGAGGTCGGCCGCGTGGTCGGCGGCAATGAGACTGGCCCAGGTGGCATTGTCGACTGCGGATTTGGCATTAGCTGCGACTGTGTTCTTGGCATCGATCGTTTTATGGGCGGCAGTGTCAAGTGCCTGTTGACCGGCGTTCAGACCGCGTTGGGCGGCGCGAGCGCCGACATCGACGGCAGCCTTAGCGTTGGCAGCGACGACATCCTTAGCATCATGTGCGAGGTGTGCGGCGGCGTCGAGTGTGGCCTTGGCACCATGGGCGACGACATCTTTAGCATCGTGTGCGAGGTGTGTGCCATAGTCTGCCGCGACGTCTTTGAGTCCAACAGCGGTGCCCGCAACCTGTCCAGCGACTTGGCCGGCGAGATGGGCGCCTTTATCGGCAGCGGCCTTTGCACTGGCAGCGAGTGATTTTTTTGCTTCATACGCCCAGAGAGAACCATAGTCCATGACGCTCTCTGCGGCATGTGCACTGATGTCCATACCCGCGGCGAGGGCGGCCTTGGCATTGGCCTGGAGCGAATTTTTTGCATCTACTGCGAGTCCGGCGGCGGTCTCCGAAGCCGCACGAGTTAGACCTCCGACGGCGCCAGCGGTCTGTTTTGCAGACGCTGCCAACGCGTCCTTGGCCTCAGTCGCCGTGGCCTCGGCGGCACCGATTACGCTGCCTGCAGCTTGAGCACCAAGGTGGGCCGCATTGCCAAGGGCCGCCTTGGCTCCACTGACCACTGCATCCTTAGCGTCATGCGCCACCACCGCTGCCTGATGGCCTACGGCGGCAGCCGCATCCTCGGCAAGGTGTTCCGCACTCGCTGCAGCGTGCATAAGCTGGCCACCAGCCGCACCGGCCGTCGCCACCACTGCACCGCCAGCAGCATGCGCTGCGAACACTACGGCATCCTTAGCATCACCACTCAACTGCTCGGCACTCTTCAACAACTCTTCCGCACCACGTCTGAAGAAGTAAGCAGCTTTTTGCAAAGTCATCTTCTCTCGATTCGCAACCAAATTTGCACGTATAACACATTTTCTCACTTGGCCGGGTATCGATTTCTACACATTTTTTGACGCATCGGATGGCACATTTTTTAGAATCGATTTTTGGAGCGTGATCTAGATCGGACCAAAGCTCACCAAGCCATGCAATGTAGAAGAGCAACAACTTTAGGGGGCCAACAACACCGTCGACGCACACGCCACACCAAGAGAGAGCACGCCTCGATACAGCAAACACAGAGATCTTGAACCCGACAAATTCTATTGTCGGTACATGCATTCTATTGTCGGCAGATTCTGTTGTCGGCAAACCGCCTATTGTCGGCAAAAAATGCCTATTGTCGGTAACCTCCATGATCGGTAAAAACAGTCCATTGCCGGCAAATCTCTACTGTCGGTTAACACCTATTGTCGGCACACTGCCTTCCACTCTAGATAAGGGGACGTAGCGCTCTTAGTACACATATCCATGTAGGCAAAAGCCCATCAGCATCTGGGGCATGTAATTCTATCGGGTAACACCTGGAGCGGCTTCTCAGTATAGTCCACCAGTGTCATAAAATTCTTAGGTAACAGACGTAGTCTGGTAAGCAGCAACTGGAACACGTCTAGGGTCTACCGCAACACACCGCTCATCATCATTCCACTCACCTCGTCGTTGCGGCGGCCGCATCCGTTCAGTGTGCTATATTGTTCGACTGACCTCATCGTGCCCATGGCCTCATCGTGCCCATGGCCTCATCGTGCCCATGGCCTCATCGTGCCCATGACTGCGTCGGCACTCGTAGAGGTCCGGATTAGTACCTACTCATGTCCCTGGCGCTCGGTCTCGTAATCAGTGTGAGGAGTCGGGGAAGATTGAATTTTGTAGGGGGAAAATGTTCCGGCCCAAGGCGAGCGTGACAAGTTTGGTGGGTCGTTCAACTGTTCTAGGTGAGAAGGACCGGAAGGGTTTGCGGTCGCAGTTTCTAGCGCAGTTCCCGAAGTGTACGAAGGAGGACTTTGAATCAGTGTGTCCGGCGTCGTCTACATTGTCGGTTTTTTCTTTGAAGGGAGTTTCATGTGACGTCTACGTAGCAGAGTCATTGCCGTTGTTCATGACATATTCTGCGAAGAAGAAAAATGCTGCGTTGGTGCCGACAATCTTCACCTTGTGGCGACTACCAGACCTGTTGCCGGTAATGTATACATTGGAGGAGGCGGTAGTGTATATGGTACGTGGTGCGGATTTCATGATACCAGGGTGTGTGAATCGGGCAGCATTGATTGATGCGGCATCTCAGGATGGATGCGTACGTGAGCAGTTGCAAGAGGGCAAGCACTGGGCATTGAAGACAGTGGGCAATCCGTATCCATACGCGGTTGGTGAGTGCTGTATCTCAGCCGACGAATTCGCAACCGCCACGAGGGGTAAAGCCCTCATGATCACACACGTCATTGGCGATTTGTTGTACAAAATGGGGCAGGAGCATGTAGCCGAACTACCACCGGGCTTCACGCACACGACTGTGGAGTCTCTGCATCCAAGGTCGGGTGTGGAAGACGAGGACGGAAAGGCTGAGGGAGAGATCAAGGGGGAAAAAGGTGCGCTTGCCGCGGATGAAGAAGAAACCGGCGAAGACACTCGCCAGAAAGCTCTGGAGGCCAACAAGAAGCTACGGTTCCCACCAAATGCCGTGGAGGCCGTCATAGAGCTCGTCACTCTCGATGTACTCAAAAAACGATACTCAAACGAGCAATGCCCAGTCAGCGCCAGCTCGATTTGGGGCGTGGTACTCGCCCACATACCGAAAGCCGTCCAGGACGCCGAGATCACTGTCCACAGCTGGCTGGAAGCTCGGGGTGTACACATAGGCTCCGTCGAAGGTAAAAAACCAGACGCCCAGTCGGAAGTGGCAACGGATAACCAGGACAGCGATGCGGAAGCGGAAGCGGAGGAGGAAGCGGAAGCGGAGAAAGCGGAAGCGGAGGAGGAAGCGGAAGCGGAGAAAGCGGAAGCGGAGAAAACGGAAGCGGAAGCGGAGGAAGCGGAAGCGACTGGCTCCGTCGTGCGAGACGGGTGGACCGTATCGCAAATGACGGCAATCGACTTGAAGCAAACGTCGTGGAAGACGGCTAAGAAGTATGCACACCATTTCAAGCAGATGAAAATCTGGCAAGTCAAGGAGATCCGGGGCGAAATGGTGGTAATTAAGATCAACTTCAACCATCCGCTCTTCAAACAGTACTTTGTACTGCCATTGACGGTTGTCGCAGAGGTGGGTAAGCCAAAGCAGACGACGCAAAAGGTAGAGGATGCGAAAAAATTGTCGCAGAAACCTCTTAGAGCTCTCAATGTCTATCAGCCGCTGACGACAGTAAAGGACATTTTGGGCAAGACAGGTGCTCTGGACGATAAGGATAAGACGTACTTGACTACGTCGGAAATTAGCGCCGCATTAGCGAAAGCCATTGAATTATCGAACACGAGTGCACAAGAATTCCCCAGCGTCGGACAGGACGCAGATCCCACCCCCACCACTCGAACCAACGACTGGACCGCCGTCGTGCTACGGGATCCTGCTTTGTCCACTTTATGTTTGAATAAGAAAGATCGTCTGGCACTCCGTAGCGGAGAAAAAAATACCGATTCGGTCACGCGTAAGGATCTGACCGACAAATTTATTCAACAAGGCTTCAAGACCATTTCTATCCTGGCACCCATGGGTACGACCGTGGAGAATGCGCTCAAAAATCCTTCCAAAGATCTCATTGTTATTGAGGGTGACGCCAAAATCTCCATCTCCGTCAAAAAGACCAAGCGATTCATTAGAACGCAGATCGCTGGAATACACTACTTCCCCAATATAGAACCGAAGTCGCTAGCGGAGAAGCTCCAGAAACAGTGCGCGGCTGCAGCTACCGTTTGCGAAGTCGAAGATGTCAAGGGCAAAAATAAACCGCAAGGAGTCCTAATCCAAGGCTCGGTTGCGCCGGAATGTCAAAAATTCATCGAGACTAATTACGGTATACCTTCAACAATGATCGAAATACTCTAATCACCCATACCTAGTCCAAGCAGACGATTAGCCCAAGCAGCCGATTAGCCTAGACCTAACCCCCCAGGCCGTGAGGGGCAGAATCAAATACTACCTGACTACAAATACTATTTGATTAAGCAACCCCTACGAATTGACCATACATTTCATTTTTCTAGTCGAGAATTAATATACGGGGTATACTCAACGGGAGCGGATCTGGGAACAGGCGCTAAAGTGGGAGCGGACGCTGTGTGGGAGGGGTCGCTGTATTGATGGTCTTCTTAGGTCTCAAGATGTTGTTGTGGAGGGTATTGGTCGAGTTTGAGATTAGACGGAAAATCGATCGCGCACGTTCGATAGCGGTACGCAAACGAAAAAAGTTCAAGCCTACACGCACCGGGGAAAACTAGGTCATTGGCGCCATGCGGAAGGTAACTAAGCGTCCATTTCAGTTATTAATGTGAATCTTAGAGCCTGTTTTGTCTTTGCATTATTGCTGCGGCGGAGTTCGAAGGAACAGCGCCGCTGGTGCTGGATACTGAAGCCCCGCTTGCTGTAGACGGCCCCCTTGTGCTGGACACAGAAGCCGAGGTCCCGCTCGTGTTGGGTGGTGGACCAAAGGTGGAGTTAGACGTGGTTGAGGTTGAAGGCATGGGCGCAAAGAAGCGTCGCAACTACCTAACCTGCGAGCCGGGAGAGTTGTGCGAGTTGCCTCCGTACCCCGCCAAAAACGGGGCCCCGCTGTTCGTCGAAACTCGGCCCTTCGTGGAGCCGGTGGCCGTGGAGGAAGTGGTCTTGGCACCGCCAAAGAAGTTTGGTGGGCCCAAGCCGAAGGTGAAGCCGCAGGTCGTCATGCCGGCGCCAGCGCCAGTCATGGTCGCGCCGCCTCCTGTGCCGCGCCTGCGCGGACCTCGTCCCGCCGACGACTGGCTCGTCGACCGACCGACCATGCCTTACACTCCCGCGCCTGAATACCATCACTACCATGACCACGAACACGTCCACCGTCATGAGGTCCGCCAAACCGACGACTGCGTCGCCGCCGAATGTGACAGCGGCTGTACCGATGGTGGCTGTCACCACGGAACCCCTCAGCCGACTCCCACTCCTCCCCACCACGACCACCCCCACCACGACCACCCCCACCACGACCATCCCCACCACGACCATCCCCACCACGATCTAAAACCCGAACACCACCTTATTGAGCCGGTCGCCGAGATCATCGAAACCATCTTGGACCACGGCCACAAAGGCGGTGACCACAAGGGTACCGATCACCACAAGGGTACCGATCACCACAAGGGTACCGATCACCACAAGGTGGGTGAGCACGAAGGTGGCGACCAGCAAGGTGGTGAGCACAAGGCGGTCGAGCACAGGGCGGTCGAGCACAAGGCGGTCGAGCAGCATAAGGCAGTAGTTGAGAACCTGGACGAAGTTATCCAGAGCGACCCGAAGAAGCACAAGAAGTGGGTGGACTGGCACGATATGAAGGAGTCTGCGCTGGATGTGATGAATGCCGTCAAGGACGTAGCCTTCCACAAAGGGAAGGGCAAGGAGAGCAAGCTGCAAGAGCAGAGCCTGGAGGATTACCGCAGCGTACCAATGCCCAACGGTATCCGCATGCCTGGCGGACATTACCTGCCTCCCGGCATCTTCTATCCCAGCTACGTAGAAGAGACTCCCGTAGCCGTCGCCGACATGTCTCTTGATGTCCCGGAGGATCGGCCGGGTGCGGTGACTTCCATCAGCGTGGACCGCCTGCCCGATGGCGGTACTGAGATCGTGAAGACCGTCGAGCTCCCGCCACGCGTCCTAGACAGACGGATCCACGACGGCGGAGCTACCAGAGTCATCGAGGTCCCCCGTCTCCAGGACGAGGCCGTTGAGGACACTGCTGCTCAGGACCTGGCCGGAATCGTAGCCGTCGATACGACTGTAGTCCGCGGCCCCACCAAGGTTACCCGAAGGGTGGTTGACTCGACGGTGGAAAAGATATTGGAGAATCCCTACTCCGGTACCGGTCCTGTGACCACTGGTCCGGTGAGCGTGGGCCCTAACATTGTGAGTCAAAGCCCCGTGGTCGCGCAGAGTCCTGTGGTTACGCAGAGCCCCGTGGTCACGGAGGCTCCCGTCGTCACCCAGAACCATGTGGTTACTCAGGGCCCTGTGGTTACTCAGGGCCCTGTGGTTACTCAGAGTCCTATGGTTACTCAGAGTCCGGTGGTGGTTCCGTCGCAGGTAGCTATCACAGACGGCCGCTTGGTGCAGCCGGAGATACGGCCAGTGATGCCGAGCTTGGAGGTAGTGGACACGTTGAGGATGGCTGAGCGTGCGGCTGCAGAGTCGGTGGCGATCGCATTGGAGACTGAGCGATTGGCGACGGAGCGGGCTCGATCGGCGATGGCTTACCGTGCGCAGATCGAGAGCGACATCGAGAGCATTTTGGAGTTGAAGGATCGCGAGGCGGCGACGGCGGAAGTGGAGCAATTGAATGCGCGTCGCGCGGCGTTAGAAAGGGCTGCGGAGGAGGCGGCGCTGGACCGTGTTCGTGCGGAGAAAGCGTTCTTCGAAATCCAGGCTGAGAAGGCGGCGCAATTGGCAGCGTATGAAGTTGCGGCAGCACAACACGCCGCCTGGGAACGCGCCCATGCTGAAGCGCGCGCCGAAGCAGCCATTGCCGACCGCCAGGCGGCCGCACAGGAGGCCCGTGCCGAAGAGGAAGTTTTACTCGAAACTGTTGAACGCCTCAAAGACCTCCGCGAACAGGCCATTTGGGACACACAACTCGCCATTCAGCGTTCAAGAGCTGACGCAGCCGCCGCCGCCGCCGCCTGGGTCGAAGCACCTCCCGCGGCCGCTCCAGCGACCCGCTACTACCCGAAGGTGGAACTCTACCCCAAAGCGGAACTCTATCCCGACCCGAATGGGGACCTCTACCCGATTGCCCATCTTTACCCCGACGTGGACATGTACCCCGGCGGCGCCCTCGACGCCTCGGATATGTCTCCCGAACGTGACCCCTTCAGCCACTTCCTCTCCGACGCCGACTACAGCGACTACGGCTACCTTCCCGCGGAATACAGCGAGGCTGCCACCTACGTCTACCCCAACGCTCGCCTTCCCATCACTGGCACACATCTCCCCACTAACCCTCACGGCCCCGTCGGACCCCACCTTCCCGCGGGCCCGCACGGGCCCTCGGGGCCCAACGGTCCCCACCTTCCCTCTGGTCCTCACGGCCCTTCTGGTCCTCACCTGCCCACCGGTCCTAACGGCCCGCATCTGCCTACTGGTCCTCACGGTCCTTCTGGTCCGCACCTGCCAACCGGTCCTAACGGCGCGCATCTGCCTACTGGTCCCCACGGCCCTTCTCGACCCCATCTTCCCTCTGGCCCTCACGGTCCTAGCGGCCCCCACCTCCCCACGGGTCCTCACGGCCCCTCGGGACCCAGCGCCCCCCATCTTCCCTCTCACGGCCCTAACGGCCCCCACCTTCCCTCTGGTCCTCACGGCCCTTCTGGACCCCACCTTCCCTCTGGTCCTCACGGCCCTTCTGGACCCCACCTTCCCTCTGGTCCTCACGGTCCTAGCGGCCCGCATCTGCCTGCTGGCCCCCGCGGCCCTTCTGGACCCCACCTTCCCACAGGTCCTCATGGCCCCAGTGTCCCCCACCTTCCCTCTGGTCCTCACGGTCCCTCTAGTCCGCATGCTCCGACGGGATACTTCCCGAGTGGTCACCTTCCTGAGCTGCCGAGCAGCCCGCATCTTCCTTCGGGACCTGAGTTGCCAAGACGTACTTCGCATGTGGATTCTGGTAATTCGCAGCATGAGACCGTACGCCAGCCTGGGATCTCGGAGCAGGAAGTCTTGGTGAGACCGATTGATTCGGCGGTGATGGAAACGCCCTTGGTGGAGAACTCGGTGGGTCCTTTCCTGGACGAGATTCGCCGAGACAAGCGTGAAGTGATTCTGGCTCCGAAAGCTGTGGAGAAGTGCTCTCGATTGGTGCCCGACTCGGTCATCATCGAGACGGAGGTCCCATTGTCGCAGGTGGCCCGGGTACCCAGCTCTGGCCTTATCCCGGTAGAGGACGCGGATTTTGACAAAATGCTTGAAATCCGACGGAATGCACCTGAAGCGGACAAGGTACTGGACTGGGCCGTTGACCAACTCTACCGTAGCCACTTTGTCCAAGAGACTAAGGCCGCCATTTGCGGCTCCGTTTGCAGCAAGCCCGCAAACCACCTGGACGTTGTATACAAGGCTGCTGACGTCTTCGCCGACTGTTTGGATCCTGACAACCTGCAAATGCTGAGGGACTTCCTATTCAAGACCATCAACTGATCCGTTAGCATCTAAACCCTTTTATTTAGCCCATAACAATATGTTTACCCCCGAAATACCTTCACCCTCTGGTTCCCTTAAGAAATTCCACCGGATGGTTAGGACCAGATCGAATTTAAATTTGGAGGTCGATGGGATTGTTCTTTCGGTCGATTGTGGTGCCGGTTGTTGTGATCGGAATAGCCATACTGATTGCCCTATGTTTTTTCCAGTCCAAGCTCATCTTTGTTCCACAACGTAAGAAGCCAAGTTGCTTGTACAGTACAAAAGGTGTGCACACACACCTTTTGTGTGTGCACACAAACACACTAAAGGTCGGAGCGAAGACATGGGCAGGGGGTGTTGGGATATGATGTTTATGTAGTCGACTCGGGAGATAGAAGCCCGTATTCTAATCCTAATGGGTGGAGACATCCTGGTGAGAAAGGTATACCATACGAGGATATTCAGTTGGATACAGAGGCTAATGTAACGGTCCATATGTGGTTAATGAAGCAGAAGGATTCTCGAAATGTACCTACCTTGATCTTCTACCATGGTAATGCTGGTAACCTGGGTCATAGACTACCAAATTTGGAGCAGCTATACAAGCGTAGTAAATTAAATGTTCTAGCATGTTCCTATAGAGGTTATGGACTAAGTACTGGTATACCTTCGGAGCTAGGTTTCTTTCATGATGCGGGAAGGGTAGTAGAATACCTCAGGACTAGAGATGACATTGACTCTAACCGTCTGTATGTGTTTGGACGTTCTTTGGGTGGAGCTGTAGCTATTGAGACGGCCCGACGAAATCCTGAGCACATTCGAGGGCTTATAATTGAGAACACATTCTGGGATATGCGTTCTATGGCTGTCCTTCTATTCAGGCCATTGGTTGCTTTCGGAAATCTTCTCAATTTACTCCTACAACATAAGTTTATGTCTGGACAAGCCATCATGCAAGTAAAACAACCCATTTTATTCCTATCTGGTGATGAGGATACAATTGTACCTCCTAGTCAAATGCTAGACTTATACAAAACTGCAAGACAATCAAAATTCAGACACTTCGTCTCCATTGCTGGAGGATCTCACAATGAGTGCTGGCTTCTATACCCCACCAAATACTATGAGTCAATCGACGACTTTATTCGAGCTGTTGAAGGCAATGAAGGAGAAGACATGAATATCGTTCTCGGAACCAAGAAGAAATCACCCACCGAAATCACCAAGAAAGCGCCGGAAGACCAAGGTAATTTCTTCTCTAGAATTATTGGACTGTTCACCAACGAATACAACTCCAAAGAGTTGTGATTTTGGCCATACAATTAACGCTGCACACACGTGTGCTTCACTACATATACTTCACTACATATACTTCACTACATATACTTCACTGCACCAAGATGATCTACTAGTTGTGTGGAATTGCAGAGTGTAGTTATCCAAGTTTGTCACCATCCAGGTTTGTCACCAGCCGGGTCAAGGAAAAAAAAGGTTTCATTCGTTATCATGTTCTCTAAGATCATTCGGTGTGGAGAGGCCGAAAATTTCTTTCTCTTGTCTGACGTAGAGCCCATTGTCGCCCTGATTGTAGGCAACAATGGCGTCAGTGTTTTTGACCTGATTATAATTTTTGTTAATGATTCCGAAGCCGAGAGGTACGTCATTGATGGTGCTGTAAATGACGCAGCCTACATGATTATCTCCCTCACCGGCATTCGGAGTTAATTGAACCTTTTGGATGTGTCGTTTAATTAGATGATTACCATATAGAAAGGACATTTCCGCATTCTGCTTGACCCAGACTTTATTGTTCGTGTAATACGCCAAATAATTAAGACCGGTAATTTGTAAGCGGAACTTTTTGGTCTTAGTAAACTTGCCCAAACAAGTACCCATAGTTAACATCTTACTCCTTGGAATCATACTCGAATATCGGTACACCAGCTCAGGAACCACAAATACTCGACATCGATGTAAGAGCAAACGGTTCTGAAGGAATGCCTCTACATTATCTCCCATACTACAAAACCGACGATAATACCAACACATGAAGACCAGTATGCTTACTATGCCTTTAGCTTGGCCTCTACCACCTTCAATTCATCCTTGGCCAATGTCCGCATCTATTTTCCCACCTAAAAAAAAATCATCCCCCCGCTCCTCCCCCCCCGGCCCGAAACTATCATGGAATGAGTCAGCTTCCCGCTACTACCGTTTTGAGTCAACTTCCCCTTACTTCCGTTTGAGTCAGCTTCCCGCTACTACCGTTTGAGTTACTTTTGCCAGACAGATTGTGCAGGCTTGGTCAAAAACTTTCTTCAAGTCAAAATATGAAATAACACCTAAGTGATCTATACAAGACTTGTATGGGGTCTTTGTATAAATATCGCTAAGAATCGTGACCACCACCATAGCATCACATTGCCCTTCAATTTCAGCTGTCAATCTGTCAATCCATACCCCTTGTTCAGATCTCATAAGAGTGACGGAAAATGGCCAGTATAACAATTGTAAATTGGTTGTTGTCTTATTCTCTCTCCACCAGCGACGCTCCTTGTCCCATTCCAATTTGGGCATCTGAAGATTCCTTAATGCATGTATGCTGCCTTCCAACCCTAAATCCCGAATATTACCGTCGTCGCTCAAACATGTCACGCTAACAGTTAACTTCCATTGGTACGTGTCATCAATCCGCAAACTCGTGCGGTCTATGCAACTAGTTAGGATATTCTCCCATTCTATTATCGATGCCAACTGATAAGCATGCTTCCATGAACCCGAACTCGTGTCGATATGCTCCAGAATCTGTTTCCCGTTACAAGGAATCCAATTCACCGTTAACAGCTTGCCTTCTCCCTTCATTACTTCACATTCAGCCTTTGCCACAAGCGATGTCTTGCCAGACACCAGAATGACGCCTCCCTCCTCGGTTATCTGCAGGCTCATTATTTTTTTAGGAATGACGGCTACAGATAAGGAAGATGAACTGTGGAGGATACTTTGTGAAGTCAACAGTAAGATCGCACACGTGTGTGACCGCACACGTGTGTGATCATCCATTTGCTGAACGGCCGGCGATATCATAGCGAATGGATCATACCATACAGAAATTGCTGTGCCAACCCGTCAGGATGGACCGCCGTCAGGATTGTTGGCCGTCAAAATTCATGCAAGGACGACACGCGATTTTTCCTCACATCGCTGGGATTTCACATCCATGAAACATTTGGGGGAATAGAACATTTGATTGATGTCCTATCTGTAGATAATGATGTGAGTCAGTTACTGGACTCTTGCTTCTCGTTCCTTAGAAGGCGGACAGACTTTTATCACGTGGATGTCGATGGGGCAGCGCCTTACGGGCTAAAGCAGGGTGAAGCCTTTGATATGGTGGTTTCCACGTTCGACAAGCATGCGCACTTGCACTTGAAATACGAGCACGACAAGCGGAAGCACGCAGTCAAGGAGGAGGAAAAATCCAGTCGGCAAGAAACATCGGAGCAAAAGATGTCGGAGCAAAAGATGTCGGAGCAAAAGATGTCGGAGCAAAAGATGTCGGAGCAAAAGATGTCGGGGCAAAAGGTGTTGGCACCGGTGACGGTCGTCAAGGCTTCTGTGGATGGATCAGGTTTTGATTTGTCCCAGCGGCTGTCCGCGAGTTCAATAGGAACCAGGAATGGTGGGTTCGGTGACAGGTTCGCTTGGTCGCAGACGGTCAGTGAGCTCCATCTGGAGTACCCTATGCAGGACGTAGTGTCGTCGCCCGACGTGGTGTTTAGAGTCGGGGCGGACTACCTATGGTGTGTCGTTGAGAGGCTGAATTTCCACATTAAGGACACTTGGCTCCATCCCGTTAAACCCAGCGGCACCACCTGGGTCCTTGAATGTGCCAGGAATGGAGACTATGAACCGCAACAGTCGCTCGTAATTTACGTGGATAAAAGTAAGAAGGGTGTTTCGTCCACCTGCCGGGGAACTAAATGCAGAGATCGGGGCTGCAGGGCAGTCGGGGTGGCATTAGATAGGTCCATTCGTTCAGGGGCTGCTGGCTAGACACCGGGCTAGACACTGGGACCGAACGCTGGGTCCGGAACCGAGACCCGGGACCGAACGCCGGAAGGCTAACAGCTAATACCTACGTTCTTGTAGAGGAACCCGGCTGGTGGGACTGGCCCTTCTCAGATAATGGTCCTCCTGAAGGATGGACAGGTCCTTCGTTCGCAGCAGATTCGGTTTCAATAGGTTCGTTACCAGCCAGACACCAACACGATATACTTGAGGCAATAAACAAAACTTGTCAGCAGAGCTAAAGCCAGGTGCGTCCTACGTAGATTCACGTGAGCATCTTCACTGGCTCAACGACGTGGAACTCAACAACGTGGGGCTCAACAACGTGGGGCTCAACGGCGTGAGACTCAAGGACGTGGGCACTCGCAGATCCTAGGATTCCTGCTTGACTACTTACGTCGCAGTTTGTTGTCAAAAGTGTTGGTGTCCTAGGCAGCGTTGTCTGGACGCTCAGCTGCAGCTTCGGTCATTGGGGCAGTGGAAGTACAGAAACTCCAATCAAATATGAAGTCGTACGCAAACCCTTCGCGGAAAAACAAATCCTTAAAGATGCGCCGAAGATAAGCGTAGTCGGGCCTATCTTCAAACCGCAGCGAACGGCAGTAATTGAGGTACGTCACGAATTCGACTAAAATGAATTTCCGAGTGTTTTTGCATTCCCAAGTGTTATAGCACTCTCGAAATGTTTTAGCGCACACGTGTGTGGTCGTGTTTCTTACATGGGAAATTCTTGCATAATGTTTCAGTACTTGTGCTCATTTTCTTCTCCATGATTTTATCGTATTTGTCTTTTTTGTTGCCAGCTTTGAGTCCCTGCCACGGTAGGCTGCCTCGATTGAAGTACATGAGAACGTAGCCAAGGGCTTCCATATCATCTCTACGACTCTGCTCTATTCCCAGATGGGTAGATACGGAGGCATACCTAGCTGTTCCGGTAAGATTCTTCCCTTCACGGTAAGGGATATGTAAATACGATTTGAAGTCTCTATACTTCTTCGCCAAGCCAAAATCAATAATGTAAACAACGGACAACTTCTTACCTCTCCCGATTACAAAATTGTCCGGCTTTATGTCTCGATGAATAAAGTGCTTGGAATGGACAAACTCTATTCTATTGAGCTAAAAAGAAATACAACCCTAAGAGTTACAGAACCCCTCAGAGTTATGGAACCCCTCACAGTTACAGAGTCGGCTTTAGTTGAAGAGGAAGGAGGAAGTGAATTCAGGTGAATATAGCCAGGTAAGGGTATGTGGATATAAGTACCACACAGATGGGGGGGGGGGGGGGGTTTAGAGGTGGCAGACATACGTACCATTTGATCAGCCAGCATGAGCACAGTTTTCAGTGTGAATTTCCTCCCCATTATTAGGAACAAGTCTTCAAGAGAAGGTCCTAATAACTCCATCACCATGACGTTATAATCCTTCTCAACCCCATACCAATATACTACTGGAACTCCAACTAGCAAAAAGCAAATTATTCTCGTTTAGGGTTTAGTGACGGAGTATGGGTTTCTTCTTACTGCCTCCGTACAACACCTTATAGAGTTTCGACTCGTAGAGTAGCTGGGGATGTTTGGTCTTGACGGGCTCCAACTTGATGGCAACGTCTTCGAAAGTTAACATGTTGCGTCCTACAGAATTACCATGCTGCGTGACCTGTGCCTGACCCTTGCTTCTGAATTGCGCCGAACAAAAGTGTGTGCAAAGTGTGTGCTGAACATAGTGTATTGCCGAAAGTATGTGCGCTCTTACCCATATATATCTCGCCGAAGCTGCCGCTGCCCAGCTTCTTGCCCAGGCGGTATTTGCCAGCAACTCTGATCTCCATTCAAAAATAATATAAAATGTTGCCGGCGCCTGCCCCGGTTTTCTGCCAAAGTTTCAACCCCTACGACAACTACTATGCCCTTGGCTGTGTGGACGGTACCTTGAGGCTTTACCACTACCACGATATCGATGACATGGCGTTAGTAGCGGAAAAAAAAGCGCATACGGGCATACGAGCCATAACTTTCTCCAATTCCCGTAACTACCATCCCCCCCCCCCCCC